CAGAATTCTGAGAACAAAAGTCAGAAAATAGTCAGAATTCTGAGATTAAAGTCAGACTAAACTGAAATAAAATTTAAAAATCAGTTAACTTTTTTTTTTTCAGTGGCCCTAATCATCTTCCGTAGTTTCATTTATCAGGAAAATGTAAATTAATCCAGTCTTTGAAACTCAGGTGTTCCCAGATTACTTAGTGCAAATGGAAGGACTCTGCATTTGATGCTGACTTCCTGTTTCTCAGTTTGTATGATTGGATGGGAATAAACCTTATTTCCAGTTTATCTCCTGTTGGGGAGGATCCTGAGAAAATGGACCAGACTGCAGGAGCTGTAGGTCCTGGATTGTTGGGGACAAAGGAACCGGAATGATAAATCTGGGTCGGCAGACGGAGCTGGTTCAACTATTGCAAGTCAGCATGAGTTCTGTTCTGTTCCAAACAGCTGAAACTAGACCGACACTCGGACTTTAGAAAGACCTGATTTTAGTTTCTGCCTCAACATCTGATCCAGTCTGACTGACAGAGCAGAAACACGGAGCTTTTAACCGGTGCTGATGATCCGTCACCAGGAGCAGGTCGGAACTAAACCGGGTCGCTTCCCTCCCTGAAGTAGACCTGCTCCCACGCCACGCTGCCCCACTCGCAGAAGAAGCCCCACAGGTTTCGTGCGGCTCCGCGGTCGAACGGGTTCTCGTCGGCGCCGCAGTGTTTGAGGTAGGAGATGCGGTGGCGCGACATGAACTCCCAGGTGGTGATGTTCATGGAGATCAGGTAAAGGTGGGAGCCCAGCAGCAGCAGCACGATGAGCGCCAGCAGAGCCAGGAGCGGGCAGACCGCCAGGAGCACGCCGTTGGAGCGTAGCCACGGCGACCAGGAGGGGGCGTGGCTGAAGCCCGTCCTGAGGAGAGAAGCGTAGGCTTCAGCGATCTGGACCGACGACCTCTGACCTTCACATGGGCGTGAACTCACCAGGCGATGTGCAGACCCCACAGCAGCACCAGCAGCTGCACGGCCAGGTACAGGACGAACCAGCGGTGGTTCCGCTCCCCCACGCAGTTCTCGATCCAGGGGCAGTGGTGGTCATAGCGACGGACGCAGTGCTGACACGTCTGGCAGTGCTTCGACCTCATTGGCTGCTGCTCCCAACAGAGAACATGGAAGGTTAACCGACCCATTTCCAGAACCAACACCAACCTGTAGGCGGAGTCTCACTGGAGAACCAGACTATAGAACTACAACCAGACTGGAAACATCACGGAGAAAGAATGATTCATTAAAGTATTCACACCCAAAAACAGCAGCAGCTTTTAGGTCACAGACCAAAACACAATGGACAGAGTTATGCTTCAATAGAAATCTGAAAAGTGTGGCATGCTTTTCTATTCAGCCTCCTTTCTATGGAAGTAAAACAGTCTCATTGGAATCTGCCTTTTTTTAACACCGAATTTTAAACACTGAATCACTGAATTTCAGATTACAAAAATAAATTGTAATAAAAATGACTGATTTAAGACATTTTAATACCAATTAAGGCCTTAGTTTTATTTTGAAGAATTCAATGCCTTTTAAGACTTTTTAAGGACCCGTGGGAACCCTGCCGTGCAGTGGACCAACTGGGAAGTGATCATCTGTCTGGACTGTCAGTTAACTGAGTTCACTATAAAGTCCCCGCTCTATATAGCGATTCAGGGGTTAGGCCGGACGTTCGAACATAGTAAGCCTGTATGAGCTTTGAGAACGGCAACCTTTAAACAGAGCGTGCATTTTTTTTTTTTAAGTGGAGAGGGCGGGTTTTTTAAAAAAATTCAAGAAAATCCTCCACAATACCTTTAATATTTAAGTCTGATTTGTTTGAAGAATTCTGATATCTCTTATTTGTTTAAAATGTCACCTTTATCTGACTTCAATCTGAACTATTTGCAGCTGCAAACTGACCCGCATGCTCATTAAGAACAGTCACCCGCAGTACAGGGCTGCAGCTATATACAACGATTACAACACAAAGTACGTCCCACATCCAGATGGTTCCTTTAGGCCTTAATTATTGACCTGAATAAAGTTTTATCACTTCATTAATTAGCCCTGAAGTCTCGACGTCTCTCCAAGTTGAAGTACTCTCCCAGTTCCCGTCTGTTTTCCTAATGGCTCCCGCTGCTGATGCGTGACGTCAGAGTCGCATCTATTCCACCTCGGATGTTTGCAATGGAGTCACTTTCTAACAGATCGGCTACGAGTCGGACTACATATCATCTATATGTATCCTTGCCTTTATTAGAACTCCATAAATTCTCAGTCTGCTAGTTCTTAGCGACCTAAGGGAAGCTGTCTCTCCATCTTCTTTTAATTGAGCAAAAATGCTACGTTTGTGCAGCGAAAATTTTCCTTTGTGTGACTACCATCCATAACATATGAATGAAAACTTTCAGAATCCATCATAGATCAACCATCTTCCTCAACTTCTTCAAATCAAGCAAAATTTACAATCAATTCTGCAACATTTGTCCTGGTTTGTGCAGCCGATTTTTTTATGTGCTGCTTTTGTTATTAGCAAAAGTTCAAAGGTCGACCTGCCCTCCACTTAAACCAAATATAAAAAATTATATGGTCGTTTGTGCGGTAACATTTTTTGATAACTTTAAAATAAAAGCAGCACAAACAAAAACTTGCTGCACAAACATAGCGAACCTGATTGACACCAGTTTTTTTTAATTTGGAGAACGTGGGGATTCAAAGTGAGAAAATTCACTCATCATTTATGAGACTTATTACTTTATAAACATGAAGAAATTACTGCAGCTTTGACTTTACATCTCATTCAGGTCAGGAGCAGAAGAGTTTTAGAAGACATGCAACCCCTCTAAAACCATCATAAACGGGCAAGACATTGAAATTGTTCATCAGTATAAATATCTTGGGTCTATCATAGATGACAAATTAACTTTCAACAGCAACACAGACATGCTATGTAAGAAAGGGCAGCAGCGCTTATTCTGCCTGAGAAAGTTAGCCAGGTTTCAGGTTGACAAAACTCTAATGACCATGTTCTACAGATCTTTTACAGAGTCCATACTTACCTTCTCTGCCATCTGCTGGTACACACTTCTTAATGTAAAGAACAAAAAAGCCATATTTAAGATTATTAAGGTGTGCAGTAAGATCACGGGTGTTCAACAGAAAAACATGACTGAAATGTATGAAGATCAGGTAATCGGGAAGGCTTAGTCCATTTTGGATAATTATACCCATCCCCTACATAACAAATTCCAGTTTCTACCCTCTGGTTCCAGTTTAAAATATCCACCAGTTCGGACCAACAGATACAAACACTCCTTCATTCCCTCTGCTGTTCAGCTGCTAAACTCTACCAGGAAAGCAGATAGCCATATGTTGCATGCATTCAGGCCTATGCTCTCATTCATCCCCTGCACTGTCTGCACATATTTATTTTCTCTCTTGTATCCACCTTACTTTTATCATTTTAAAATATTTTATGTGTTTGTTGTGTTTCTTCTTTTATTTTTTTTTAATCTGTGATTTGTGAAATGTGAACTACTACTGCACAAAAATTGCCCATACCGGGACAAATAAAAGCTACTGAACTGAACTGTACTCAGTGGGAAGCGGTTCAGGAGCTGAGGAGTAAAACCTGTCTGGAGTCTGGGGGCATCGTACCTGCAGCAGGCAGTGGCCGCAGCGGCGCTGGCGCAGGGATTTGGTGCTGGGTGGGATCATATCCTGCTGCTCCTCAGTTACTCCCAGAGTGAACTGGAAAAAACAAGGATTTTGGAATTGGAAAAAGCTTCCTGGATGAGAAGCGAAACGTTTTAAAACTTGGGGAAAAAAAGTCCAGCGGATTATTTAACTTTTTTGGAATGACTTTGACCTGGATGACTGAAAATCTTCACCAGCACACAGAAGGAAACCCAGTCTGCAAAGCCCGTACCATAACACCACCACACTTCAGCAGAGCATCTGTGTTATAATATTTCACAGGATTCTTTGGATGACGGAAGCTAAAGATTTAATCTGAAATATTTGATCTTATGAATCAACTAATGATTAATAAATAGGTGACATTTTCTCGCTAAATATTGTTTTACAATACGCTGAATTAAAATTTGGGGTTTTCATTCCAAAATCATCTATATTAAGACAATGAAAAACCTGAAATTGTTCAGTTAGTGTGCAATGAATCTAAAATATAAGAATGTTCAAGTTTTATCATTACATTGTGGAAAATCATGAACTTTATCATAATATGCTGATATTTTGAGAAGGACCTATAGATCTTAGAACCGCCCCTGCTCACCTGCAGGTCGCTGTCTTCAGCCAAGATGAATCCAGGATCCATGAGGGACACTGCGAAGTACAGCAGCACCGACAACAGAACCAGCAGGACGAACAGAACCGGCTGCAGAAGCTGGCCCGTTTCCTCCTGCTTCCTGAGCTCTGTCAGGGAGAGACACACTTTCCAGGAGCTGATCCTGAACACCTGGGATCAGTTCGGGGGGGGACTCACCTGTATCATACAGGAACAGAATCAGCGTGATGATCCAGGTCAGAACCACATGAGCTGTCCTCACCAGGAAACCCGAACCGAACACATTCTTAAACATGGTCCTAACATTCCAGAACCTCCATGGTAACCTTCACAGGAGCTGGGAATGTCAGCTGGGAATGGCAATAATGTGGGACGTAAACAGCTCAGGGAGGGTATTATGGAAGGGAAACTGTGAGGAATCGGAACCAGAACTGTTCCGGTGAAATAAACCAGATTAAACTAATAAATTATGTCTGGAAACAGTAAAATAATCGATAACTGACTCTAAATCCATCCTTTAAGGCAGACGGACCGTTAGCATTCCGTTGCTCCAATGGCTTGTTGTCATCTTGAACACAGACGGCTCTGATTGGTCAATATCAGTCACGTGACTATTTCTCAGCTGAATGAGGAGCCTGAGGAAGACGTCACTCCAGCCGCCATCTTTCTGAGGGGCTACGGATGTTAAAGATCCCTTTACATTCATTCCTTAAAAAATAACATATTAAACAATTGCTCTGAAATAATCACCTTTATAAACGGTTTTGATTTTATTGAAAAAAAAAAAATGTACTAATAGATTTTTAAGAACCACCTTCACATTGATATATTTTCCACCAACCTTAAGAAGAACACATTTGTTCAAAAAGTATGATGATACCTTTTTAAAGAAAATTAGAACCAGGTATCTTTCATTTCCACTTCCACAGAAAGTAAAGGAAATCCATTTCAAAATTATGTACGACATTTAACCCTGTAATGATGTTTTACATAGAAAATTTAACATAACTACCAATTCTTGTGTATTTTGTGATTCAGATATTGAAACAGCAGAACATCTATTTTTTCAGTGCAATATAATAAATATTTTTTGGATCTTACGGAAGACTTCTTTACCACTTTTGAATTTTGATATAATAAAATTCGTTTTTTTAACGGGGGATAGAAAATCAAACTATGGTAATAACAATTTCATGCTTTTGGCCAAATTTTTCATACATAAGTGCCGATTTCAAAAAATTACCCCATCTCTAAATATTTTTATAAGTGAGATACTTTTATTAAAAGAAGTACTAACCCTTTGTACAAACCCTAAAGCCCAATCAAAGATGCAATATATTGAGAATTTACTTTTAAATTCAAGAGTCCTTTAGTATTTTTATTTTTTTTATTTAATTACTTTGTTCTACTATCTGTTATTTTTGTTTTCTAATTGTATATAGGTTATCTGTATGATTGTATTTGTTATATTATACATACTCTGCTCAACTTCCTAAGATATTCAATTTACAATTTTGTATAATTGTTTTGATATGCTTTGTAATACTTTGATTCTTCAATAAAATAAAATAAAAATAATATTTTTTATAATTCCTTAAATGTTCTTTTCTTTCTGGTTTTGAAAATTTGCTTTTAAAATATGTTGTGTTGTATATTTAACTGTTTTCATCTATTTTAATATGTTCATTTTATTTTTCTTAATTTTTTTAATGTGATGATTTACCATTTAGCCAAGTTAATAGTTTCCATTTTTTACAGGAATGTATTTGAATACCATTTATTTATTAAATTAAATACAGCTCAGTTTGGTTTTATTTTTATTTACTACACTTAAAACAGTTTTATACAGTTTTTGAATCAAATCTGGATTTTAATTAAATGTACTGTTTATTCATATAAGCTACTATATTTTTAATTTTTTTTGTCATCTTATGTTTTGAACCAAGGTGCTTCTACTTTCTTGGTCCCATTTTACAGCGGAGGGTTAGTGGTAATCACCAGTAAGTTCCTGCATACCTGTATGAGTAAAAATATGACAAGAAATGACTCCTTGAAACATGTAGCAGGACTAACTCTGGGTTTTTACTACTTCTTAAATGAGATCTGCAGAAGAACAGGATTGGAAATATTGTGTCCTCCTTTTTTTAATTGCCTGTTGAGGTCAGAGCACAAATTCTTTGAAAATATTTAATTAAAGGCGGTTTTGTGTTTTTGTGCATCTGTAGACTCTCCCATATCATGATAGAGCGCATCTTCTCCTTTGATTTATTTCAATGATAACTTTCTTCCATTTTCCAGATTTTAAAACAGATGAGTGTAGCTGAGCAACCTCCCTTTCTGTACTTCTGTATGTTTTTCCTAAATAATAAACTATTTAACCACAGAAGCTTGTTCTTCTGAACAATAATACACTGCAAAAACGATCTAGAAATAAGTAAAAATTTCTTAAGTTTAGTGTATTTACCCTTAATTTTAGTAGGTAAATGAGATAATTTGCCAATGGAATGAGTATTTTTACTCTTAAAAGAAGATAATTAGATAATATGCAATTGAAATAAGACAATCCAATTGTGTTTTCTTATTTTAAATCTAAATTGTCTTGTTCCATTGGCAAAATATCTCTTTTATCTCATCAATAGAAGAACAAATGAACTTATTTTAAGAACAAATGACTTACCTACATTTTGATTTTTTCCTGTGTAGGATGTTTTATTCAGGCTTCTTGAAAGGAATGTTCTACAAGCGGTATGAATATGTGCTGCCCTCGTCCTTTAGAAATATATAGCTTCACTGACTGAACTATTCTGTGGATCTGTTTTCAGTCCCTCAGAGTCAGAGGCATTCATGTTACTCAGTTTGTTTAGTTTATTACATTCTTGCCTGGTTTTTACCTTCTTTTCAGTTTGTAATTATTCAGAACACATCAGTGTGACAATAGCTTAAGCCATTATATGAGGAATAACCCTTTATTTGTAAATTCTTATTTAAATGTCAACAAAATTTCTCTGAATTGTTTAATTTGCTGGTGTAAAAAAAACAAAAAGTGTACATAAAGTCTCATGTTTGATCCCTGATTGGTTAATTCGCTCCATCACCATGAAGCCGCTCTGATTCCTCATCTATGAGGCTCGGTTTCTCCATGTGGCTGATGATGAGCTCTACCGGGCCTGCAGCTCTTTAGCCGCTTCCTCGTCCAGGATGAAGGGAGTTTTTAAGGTTTTCCCTTTCAGAATCAGCTCCAGACCCTAAACACAAAGCAGCTGTTAGAAAATGTAGGGTTTTTTTTATGAATGAACAGGATCAGATGCGATGGAGGTTGCTGTTCCTCACCTCTCCGAAGTACGACACCAGAGGGGAAATCTCACATTTTACAGGAGGATGGGTCTCAGCAGAAGAGCTGTGATGGAAAAATATTTACACATTTTTACTAAAATCTGTCCTAAAATACATTTTAAATGAATCTGAAAACATAGTTTATCAGCAGCCATTACTCTGTACTCAAATGCTAACTTTATGTGATGTGAGGTCAGCATCTGCTAGCTTTCAAGGTTTTACTCGCAGATCAGTCTGGAGACTCTCCGTTAAAGAAAATTTGGAGCCGTTCACCAAACGAACGT